GCTGGCAGAGGCTGTGTGTGGGCTCTGCAGCTCAGAGACCTTCAGCAGCTGCCTGGATGTGGGCCTGGGTCCCTGCTCTGGTGTGCCTGATGGAACGGGAGTTGGGCCTGATGGGCACTGCCAGCCTCAGCCGGTCTGGGGTGCTGTGAAATTGTTCATGCAACAAAACTGCTGAAAGTTGTGGAGTGCAGGTCTTACGGGGAGCAGTTGAGAGAACTGGGATTGATCAATCTGGGGAGGAGAAAGCTCAGGGGAGACCTTGTTGCTCTCTACAGTCGCCTACAAGGAGGCTGTAGCGAGGTGGGGGTCAGTCTCTCCTCCCAGGATACTAGCAATAGGACAAGAGGGAATGGCCTTAAATTGTCCAGAAGATGTTCAGGTGGGATATTAGGAGGAAAAAAAACCTATACTCAGAAAGAGTGGTGAGGCAGTGGCAGAGGCTGCCCAGGGAGGTGGTGGAGTCAGCATCTCTGGAAGTGTTCAACAAACACAGAGATGTGGCACTCAGGGGATGGGCTGGCAGTTATACCAGATGGTCTTAGAGGTCTTTTCCAACCTTAATGACTCTAGAATTCTACGCAAACAGCTTCTGAGACTTCAGAAGAACGTGGCTGTATTCCTGTCTTGAATCCCTGAATCCTACTTTGGTAAATAGCATCACTTTTTTACTTACTTGCTTAGTTGCCCCCGAACTTCACACCGTGAGGAGGAAGCACTGAAAACTACCACCTGAGCTGGGCTCCTCACCTGCTGGAACGCCGGGACGAAGGCACCCGGGGCAAGCCGGTCTTTACCATCACGAACCTGGGCTCGTGCCCCTTTCCCACCTCGGAGCCGCGCCGGCCGCCCGCACCGCAGGGATCCGCGTCCGAGCGCTCGCCTCGCGCCTCGGGAGGGCGCTGGGGTGCTGGGAGCGGGGCCGAGCGGAGCCGCCGCGGCCCCGGTGGGACGGGGCGACGCAGGGAGGGTGCAGGAACCGGGGACCCGGCATCTCCGCCTCCCTCCGTCCCCCCGGGGCCGCCAGGTGGCATCGCTCTGCGGTGCCCGAGGGAAGCGGCGTGCAGGTGCCAAGGGAGGAGCCGCGCGGACAGGGGCCGGCAGCACCTCACCCTTTCCCACCCCTCCTCGCACACACGCACACCCGAGAGGCAGGGACGAGCCCGGCCACCTCCCCCTCCTCCTCCTCCTCCTTCACGGCCTCGCACCCCACCCGCTCCCGCCTCCGGGTCCCCGGGGGTGCCGGGAACACCCCGCGCCCGTCACTGGGACGGGAGGCGGGGCCGCCGCCGTATAAGAAGGCACCGAGCGGCCGCCTGCACTGCCAGGTCCCGAGACGCGCCCGCGGGGAGCAGCGCCCGGCGCAGCACAGCACAGCACAGCAGTCCGGAGCCGCTCCGCAGCCCGGTAGCGCTCCGCAGCCGCAGGCAGCAGCCCGGCCCCGCTCCCCTCCGCCCGTCGGAAGCTGTGGAGCCGCGAGCGGCGCGCAGCAGCGGGTGGTGCCCGCGGCCCCGAGCCCCCATGAGCGCCGCCGCCCTCTACAGCCTGGACTCGCCGGCATGCTATAGGAGCTGGTGCCCCGAGCCCGCCAACTTCTACGACGCCAAGGTGGGCAGCGGCGGGCCGGGCCCCGCCTGCAAGCCGGGCGGCCGCGCCATGAGCGCCGAGGAGGCGGCGGGCGGCGGCGGCGGCGCAGACCTGGCCGAGCTGAGCGCGGCCGCGCCGGCCATGTACGAGGACGAGAGCGCCATCGACTTCAGCTCCTACATCGACTCCATGTCGGCCGTGCCCAACCTGGAGCTGTGCAACGACGAGCTGTTCGCCGACCTCTTCAACAGCAACCACAAGCCCGAGCGGGGCGGGGACTACGGCGAGTACCTGCCGCCCGCCGCCAGGGAGCCGGGCCCCGCCGGCAGCGCCCCGCCGGGCGCCGGGCCCCGCGCCGCCCCCGCCTCCTCCTCCTCCTCCCCGCCGCCCTCCTCCGCCTCCTCCGCCGCCTCCTCGCGCGGCGCCCTCAAGCAGGAGCCCGAGTGGAGCGACGCCGAGCTCTCGTCCTCGCTGCTGCCCTCGCAGATCGCCACCTGCGCGCAGACCATCATGAACCTGGGCG